CCATAATTCACCACTTGGAAGAAAAAAGATCGGTTCATCCTTATGTGGATGAAGTCCACCCTCACTGATAAATCTCTTGCTACCGTCGCTAGGGCTACTACCTCTCACCAGGCTTGGAAAACACTTGAGCGCAACTTTCAGGCCTAAACATGTGCTCAACGCATGACCCTAAATACCCAACTCAAAACTATGCCCAGGGGCTCACTCTCCATGATCGATTATTTAGAAAAGAAGCGCCGAATTGTCGAATGTTTGGCTGAAAATCTCACCCTAGTGACTGACGAAAACTTAATGGGTTGCATTTTCAACGGATTGGATTCTTCGTACAACTCCTTCACCTCTGCTTTCCTTATGCAAGCTGAGTGTTGATGACCTTGTTGGTCTTCTTCTTCAAGAAGAAGCAAGACTTGAGCAAGAACTCACTCGCCAGGCTCTCACTCAAGTACCTACATCCACCACCTCTCAACAACTCTCTTCCTTCCGTGTAGCAAATATAGCTTCACGTACTCCCTCCACCAACCGCTACTCTTAGCCTTCTCAGGGAAGCCACTCGAATTCTCGTGGTGGTCCAGATAACCGATGCAAACGTCTCCACTATCAACTCTGCAATAAACCAGGCCATGAGGCCATCAACTGTTGGCAACGGGGAAACCAAATTGACTACCCTTCTCGCCAGCCTCCTCCCTATGCCCAGCCTCGTTAGGCTAATGTTGCCAATTTACACAGTCCCTCCACTATTATGGACCCTTCATGGTACTTTGATACACGGGCGACAGATCATGTCACCCCCGATTTGAATAAACTCCACATCACTGAACCCTACACTAGAGAGGATCAGCTACAAGTTGGCAATGGTACAAATTTACTTATTACTCATTCTAGCTCCTCTTCTTTGTCTTCATTGCATTTACCTACACTTCTTGTTGCCCCACGTCTTACTAAAAACCTGTTAAGTGTTTCACAGCTTACAAAAGACAACAATGTGTTTATGGAATTCTGGCCTAATCGTTGCATTGTCAAGACATTGCAGGGCAAGCTAATTCTTCAAGGTCGCGTTGATCATGGCCTCTATCGCTTCGACCTTCCATCCAATAACTCAACATCTACTACGACTCTCTCTACTGTACGCACCTCCTTATTAGGCTGGCATAATCATCTTGCTCACCCACATGAAGCCATACTTCAGCGCCTGATCTCCACTTTTCAACTTCCAATTTCTTCTAATAAACTTTCACCTGTTTGTGAACCATGCCAATTAGGCAAAAGTCACAGATTTAATCCTCCTTCTATTCATATTTCATGCTCTCAACCTTTTGAACTTCTGTATTCGGATGTTTAGGGTCCATCCCAAATGTTATCAATAAATGGAAGTCGTTATTTCGTATTATTCATTGTTGATTTTTCCAAATTTGTATGGATTTACTTCATATCTAACAAATCTCAAGTGCTTCCCACATTCATCAATTTTCGCACCATGATAAAAACTCAGTTTAACAGTGACATAAAATATTTTCAATCAGATTGGGGTGGAGAATATCGCACCCTCTCCACCAACCTAAAAAAAAATGGCATTCACCACTGCATCTCGTGCCCTTACACTTCTGAACAGAACGACGCGGTAGAACACCAGAATCGTATTATTGTTGAAAAAGTTTTATCACTCCTTGCACACTCGTCTTTACCTCATGAGTACTGGGAACACGCTTTCAAAACAACCACATATATTCACAATCGTACCATCACCCCTACCCTACGATATCAATCCCCATACTCTACTCTTTACAACAAATCTCCAGACTATGCTTTCATGCGAACATTTGGTTGCCTATGCTACCCTTTCTTACGACCTTATAGCTCCCACAAGATGGATTTTAGATCTCTTCCCTGTGCCTTCTTAGGCTACAGTGCCTCTCACAAGGGATATCTCTATCTTCGTAAACCCACCTCACGTATATATATTTCTCGTCATGTGGTCTTCAACGAGGAAGTTTTCCCTTACTCCACTAATCCTAAACCCAACCTCTCAACATCTCTTCCCTACATGCCTTAAACGCCTATCTCAATAGGTATTCTTAATCATGCAAATCCCTAAATACTCCAGATCTACCAACACCTTTACCTGTTGCCCACTCACCATCATCTACTTCTTCCTCCAACAACACTACTACAGTTCCATCCCTACCCTCCTGTCCATCACATCAATGCCCAACAATTAGCTCACGGGAAAAACAAAACCCACTCAGTTTTCTCTGACCTGCTCCAAATACTCAACACAAAATGGTTACTAGGGCTCAAACCAACTCCTTATGTCCTAAAGCTCTCTCACTCACCACTACAACTCTACCAACCTCAGAACCACGTACTGTTCCTCAAGACCTTAAGAACCCCTACTGGTTTAATGCAATGAAGCATGGATTTGATGCTTTAATGAGAAATAAGACATGGACACTTGTCTCTCGTCCCTTTATTGCTAACATTGTTGGTTGCAAGTGGATTTTCAGAATTAAAAGACATTCGGATGGCTCAATTGAACAATATAAAGCCCGTCTCATTGCTAAAGGGTTCACTCAAGAAGAAGGATTTTCAGTCCCGTCATTAAACCGACAACTATCCGCCTGGTCATCTCTATTGCTCTCTCTCAAGGGTGGACAATTCGATAACTCGATATCCACAATGCATTTTTAAATGGTATACTATCGGAGGAAATCTACATGGATCAACCTAAAGGATTTGAGGATCGAGCTCGTCCCACTGCTGTTTGTAAACTCAATAAAGCACTCTATGGGTTGAAACAAGCTCCAAGAGCCTGGTTCAATTAGTTCAAACGACATCTTGTCACTAATGGGTTCCGTGCATGTCACTCGGATACTTCCCTCTTTGTTCATTACTCTCCTGCTGCCACCATTTATATCTTAGTCTATGTTGATGACTTACTTATTACAGGAACTAATCCAAGGCTGGTTCAGAATGCCATTAATGAGCTGCACAACAATTTTGCACTTAAAGACTTGGGGACGATCAATTACTTTCTAGGTATTGAAATTTACAAGACAGCCACGGGTCTTCAATTATCACAACACCAGTACATTCATGACATCCTCACAAGAAATAAAATAGCTGACTCCAAACCCGTGTCCACACCAGCAGACCCGTCAATTCTATTAGTTAAAGCTGGTGACCCATTCACTGATCCAACCTTGTATAGACACACAGTTGGGTCTTTGCAATATGTGACAATTACACAACCCGATATTGCTTATGCGGTCAACCGCGTATGCCAATTAATGCATGCTCCCACCACCCTTCACTGGCAAGCAGTAAAACGCATCTTAAGGTACCTTAATGGCACCTTACATTATTGTCTTCACTTCAGGTCTCATGCTGCTACTTCTCTTTTAGCATACTCGGACTCAGGTTGGATGTCCGACAAAGATGATAGTCGGTCTCAATATGGTTTTGCCACTTTTCATGGCCCAAACTTGATCAGTTGGGCATTTAGGAAACAAAAAGTGGTGGCACGATCCAGCACCGAAGCAGAATATCGGGCCCTAGCCTACACAACAGCCGATTATTATGGATTCAACAACTTCTTCGTGATCTTCGTGTTCAACTCCCCAAACCGCCTATCCTTCTTTGTGACAACGTTGGAGCAACTTTTTTATGCAAAAATCCAGTTATTACACGATCTAAACACATAGCTCTTGATTTCAACTTTGTAAGAGAACAAGTAGATGCAGGTGCTCTTCAAATCTGTCAAGTTTCCTCTGTTGATCAATGGGATAACATCTTTACAAAGCCTCTGGGAAAGGATCGAGTCACTGAACTCAGGCACAAGCTTCAAGTGCGTCCTCCTCTTGAGCTTGCGGGGGGGGGGGGGGGGGGGTAATAACAGAAATATTCAGCATCATAAAGAATTATATTAGTTTTGAATTGGTCTTGTAACTTAGTCAGTTTGTCCTATTCTTTAAGCTATTATTCTCACGCATTTTGAATCTACTGTTTATGTGGAGTTAGGGCTCTCTACTTCTGTATATATAAATTCATGTATACCACACTGAATGAATATAGAGAAATTACTTCAATCATACTACTTCATATCTTATTACTCTAGATATTCCATTCTGGTACCAATATGTCAAAATCTTTACTAAAAGTCTACCACGATAATAATTCCTCAATTTCAAATACAATTTGAGTGTTCAACTAACTACCCCTCCATCTAAAATGGCTGTTGTCATTATTAGCATATATTTTTAAATATCCTGTTATATTTACAAAGATATTAATCCCATTAATGTTGGAATTCTTGTTATATTTGTACTCTATATATATTTCGTATATTGGAAAGAGACGAGCAAGGTTGAATACTAAACTTTAGATGCTACTATGTGTATTTAACGGTTTGAAGATAATAAATCTTAATTTCGATGATTAATATGTAATATGAGATGGTATCTAAACCACCTAAAGTTCTCATATACCCTAGAATGACATAATAGCCATCACAAAGTTAACTATATACTAGCAAGCACGAAGGAGGCAATTTCTTATATCGCTTTCCTTGCATTAATCTATATCAAAAAAATAAATAAATAAATAAAATAATAATAATAATATGCCTCATAGCAGCCGTAATTTACTATGTAGCTGCCGAAGTGGGTCCTTAATATTCCTACCCAGACTTGAAAACTATATACGAAAGACCATATTTTGACTTCGTGTGTAACGGGTACTTTTCAACATCCATATGGATTCCAAACTTGTTTATAAAACTACAATTAGAGCAAATATGGTAAAATAAAATCAATTTAGACGTCATATCAAAGTTCTCCTATACCCTTAAAAGTAGCACGAAGTTTCCCTGCTACATGCTATTCCTCAGTTTGTCTTTAGTGCCTTCGATCTCCTATAAATTGAGACCACCAACTTTCTCCATTCAACATCAAAAACAACTTCACAAACACACAAACACATAGCGAAAGAGTTCAGAAAAGAAAAAAATGGCTAACTTCCCATTGATCGACATGGAGAACTTGAATGGTGGAGAGAGAGGTGCTACAATGGAGTTGATCAAAGATGCTTGTGAAAACTGGGGATTTTTTGAGGTATATATACACTT